TTAAGAGAAAAATATTCATTTTTCTTGAAAAATAAAAGTATATTAGAAATTATAGATGAGTTTCTTTTATATAAATATTCTTTTTAGAAGTTTTTTTATTCCAAATCTTATTCTACCTCCTTTTCTAAGTCATATAAGATATTTTTTTATTTAATTATAATAGTATTTACAAAAATAAAGGATGTAATTGCATAAATGTAAGATCAAATCAGATACATAGTACTTATAGTACATCAATTTACCTTATCACTTTAAAAAACATCTATTTTATTTTAGAATTTTCAAAAAAAGTAATTGTATAAGTTGTATAGCACTCTTAATGCTTCTTAAAGATTCTATAGTATTTTAGAGGATTCTTAAAATCTTCTAGAATCTTCTTAGAAATTTTACAATTTTTTATAATCTTTTAAAAACTTCCATAGTCTTGAAGATATTTATTTATAGAATATTTTTTGGAATTGTATAATATTTTATAGTTTCAATAAAATCTCTTAAAAAAGTATTCATGAAGTTTATATGCCATAGTAATGATGTAAGGGCAAAACATTCATAACCTTAATTTCACCAACAAAAGTTTTGAAACAATTCAAGAATTAATTTTGTTCTAATTTCATGCCTATTCTTCATATTAATCAAGAAGATTATATCATTATGAATTTTGAGATATATTTATATGTTTTTTGGTTTGGTTTCTTTCATAAATTGACAAGGTTTTCTTTGCCACATCTTTATGTTTCTTTCAAAAGTGGGTTGAATATTGTTCTTGCAATAAATACTTCTACTTTCTAAATTTTGTAGATTATTTAGCTTTGTAGTAGTTATCATATCAAAAAGTAGTCTTAAATATATGCACACAAACACTCTTTTTTTGCATGATATATTTTGTTGTGAAGATCACTAATCCTTTTTAGAGAATGGTTAACTATTAAAGAACATCACACCAAGCTTACTTTATCACAAAAAACTTATCAATTATGCCATATAAATATAAAAATCCATTCCTTTTAATTCTAAACAAGTTCATAAAGATCTAGAATAGTTGTAAATCTATTTTCACTTTTGTCAAGAATAGCATCCATAATTTTTTCTTTCATAGAAAATTCAAACAAATTTAAAAGTCAAATTAAACAAGGATAATTTGAAACCTCTAAGAACAAATAAAAATTTCTACAAATAGAGATAGTCCACTCTCTTTAAAAATAAAATTAGTATCAAAAAACTAAAAGTGAGTTTAAAAAACAATAATCCTCAATCTTCAAAATATAGCAATAGAATTGGGATAATGCACTCACATCTATTACAAAGAAGAAAAGTAAATTAGAACACTTGTTACACTATCAAGGATATAAATTTTAAAGAAAGAAAATCTCAATACACTCTTATGTCAGTCAAAAAGATTAGAAAATTATTCAAAGATAATAATATATTGAACTAAAATGACTATTGTTAAAAATAAGTAGATTAGAAAGTCTTAAAACAAGCCTAAGGACCAGAAAGATGTTGACAAGAGTGAAGAAGGCTTCACTTTTGCTTCCATATATACTATCCAACTAAAAGCTACTTAGTAACGTCCTATAGGACCTCTAACACATGTCCAATCTACAAGACATGTATCTTAACTTGCAAGGCAAGGTTTTTTTATGCATGCCACATCATTAGCTTGTACCACAAGCTATCCACATGTGCAATACAAAGCTAACTTATTGGCCAAGTTTTTAACCTAACAATCAACTATAAACATGTATAAAGTCAAATATGCATCTATAAAGATTATAAGAATCTTTATTAGAAGATAATATCAAATCTACTTACATTTATATTCTACCTAGCACTTCTTATATATATATATATATATATATATATATATATATGACAAATATAAATAACTAAAAAGATATGAGGTTCTTTTTTATATATTTTTTAATTACTAATTAATATTTAAAGATTTTTAATAAATAATATATTTAGATAGAAGGCCAATATAGATATTGGTCTTAATAACTAATCTTTAATATTAAAAAATAAGTAAAAATATTAAGATAATTACCTCTAAGATTTATTAAGACTCCATTTTTATAAATTTTTCTCTAATAAGACTCTTGAGCTCTATAAACATTGCTAAATTCTAATAAATACTTAAATCATTAAAAAAAATCCCTAATACTAATATTTTATATTTAAATAATCAAAACCTATATTTTTAATAATTCTACCAATCAAGATCTATTGGTGGAACTTACAAAGAAAAAATACTATTAATATCGGAATAATTAAATCCATCTCATATTTTACAATTCAATATTTAATTCACCTCCATAATCAACCATTTCAAATTGAGTAAAAACTAATACCTCTTTAAAACTATATAAGGCCTAGAAAAAACCAACCTTTTCTTCAAGATGAACAAACATAATTTAATTGATTTACTACTCTTATTTATATATAGATCTTAAGTTTAATATTCTTGACTAAGTTTCATCATTGATTCAATGACATTAATTTTATTTTCTTAAGATTAAAAATCTATCTTAATAAATGATAAACATAAATAATTATAAGGCAAATTTTTAAATTAAAATTTTGATAAATTCACTAATGACAAACTCTAAAACCCTTTTAATGTTTTCTACATTATAATAGTAGCTAGATAAGAATTCATTCAATACTACCACTAATATACACTGCTGTAAAGGCATTCCTCTTCATTTCTATAGAGAGTATGGTAAGAAAAAGAAAGAAAGAAAAAAGAAAAAGAAAAAGAAATCTTGTTTACACCAAGCATTGTAGTTTGTGTAGTGGTGCTCCAAAACTGTAAGCAACAATCACTTACCATGACATTAGGAATGCAAGGCACATGTTGTGTTAGGAGAACTTTGTAAGTTGTAAACTTTGATGGGTGAGTGAGAGTGAGAAGTGGAAGGGTGGTATTTGTTGGGTCCCATTGGGGGAGGGGGTGAACAAACAGTGCGTGCAGAATGTTGGTGCAGAGATGCTAGGGGTGTTGTGTGCATCGGTTTGGAAACCAGTCGGAGATGAGTGAAAGGTGGAGGTGGAATGGAGGGTGAATTGGTGAAGAAAGTGTGCGAAGCACGGAGGTGGGGCGGTGCGGTGGCAGTCAGTGGGTGGGGCTGCGGGAACCAGCAGTTGAGGAGTAGCCCAGGAGCAAAATGATGCTGAGAGAGCAGAGCTTCAGTAAACTCGGCGGTGCAGGCGGGGCTGGAGGCAGCAGGGAGCAGCAGGCGGAAAGGGAAAAAGAGGAGAGTTCCCCACGTTGGTAGTCCCTGCGGGTTTCGAACCCGCGACCTTTCGCGTGTAAAGCGAACGTGATAACCACTACACTAAGGAACCGAGGCGGATGTACCGAGGAATTCTGCTTGAAATTATATTTGTTTTGCACATCTGCTCCTCCTGCTCGAAGTCGCTCTCAAACGCCTTCTCCCACTTGGCAAAATGGCACTCAAACTACAACCCACACCTAACGCTTGCTACCCCTCCCCTCTTACAGTCTTGCTTTGACAAATAGCAACATCAACCCCACAATGAAAATCCAACTTCCCCCCACCCCACTCCACTCCACTGGAGCCCATGCCTCACCTGCCCATTTTGAGCCTTTTCGTGCTGTCATGCTGATTGTCCGATCATGGTCATGTGATGCAGAGGGCATTGCTCCTCCTTCTCAGCCAATTTCATGTCTATGGGGTACTTTGTACATGTTGGCTTGTTA